TGAAACCTAAAGGGTTTAGGTCCAGTATTGATTAAGAGAACATTGAACAAGAATTTGTGAGTGATCTGAAGGGGAACTAGCAAGATGAGTAACCAGAATATTATCAAACATATTTAAGCATGAATGATTGATTAATATTCTGTCTAATCTTCTCCAAACCCTTCCATTAGCTCTAACCCCTGTCCATGTGTATTTGCAGCCAGAATATGGAAGATCAATAAGATTACATCCAGAAATAAAATTTGAGAAGTCTTGAATACTGGTAAGTAAGGGAATACTCTTTCCTTGGTGTTCATTGAAGTTTGCAATAGCATTAAAATCTCCCCCCACTGACCAAGGAGTACTCATAGTTTGGCTTATAGATATTAATTCAGCCCACATCTCCCTTCTTTTAATATAACAATGATTCCCATATATGGCAGAAATCCATCCCACAAAATTCCCCTTAGTCACCTTAAAGTGAACCAACTGTTCCTGCACCTTAAAATCAGATATACAAACTTCATCTTTATTCCAGAAAACCCAGATCTTATTATCATCAAAAGAAGCTACCTCATCTAGCCCAATCTTAGACTTGAAAGTAACTAATTATGAAAAATGAGAAATAGGCTCAATAACAATTACAATATCAACCCTCCATTGATTAGTTAGGGAATAAAGTCCGGAACTGGAGGATTCCAAACCCCTAACATTCCAAAATAAGCAATTCATTAATGACCAACTGCAGTAGTTGGACAGAGCCCTTGGCTATCTTTCTTTTTGGCTGCATTTCTAGTAGTTATTGAGGAAACCTCAGCACCTACCTTTTTTGATTTTCTCCCTGTGACTTTTATAAAACCCTCATCCTGGTTGAGTTTATCTGTTTCCATATTGTCCTCTGTTCCACTGTTATGAGTATCTTCCTGATACTCCATATTGTCACATGTAGAATGCTCCTCTGTATAATTGTGATCAAGCTTATCTTGCTTTTTAACCATCCTTTCTATAATGTTGCAGATATCAGGTCAGTTGACTAACCAAGACTCCTTATCAACTTTGTGATCACTCTCCCCATCAGAGTGATACATCTTCTCAGCCATTTCAGAATCCCATTCCAACTTTTCATGTAGCTTCTTCAAAGATGAATCATCAGTTGCTTCACAGAGTATGTGACTAGGATTGAGAAGAATGCCCTCAAGATCAGCCACCATTTCAGCAGTTAATTTAGATATTTTCTTTTCAGTTTGTGGGTTGTCTTGAGGTTTCAAAATTGTGGGCCCCTCAGTAGCTTTAGGAATTGCATTGTGTTGTGATGTTGTTATCTCTGTAATAATAGGCTCTGCACCAACTGTGTTAACAGGACTTGCAACTTGGACTTTATCCTTCCTAGGTATGGATTCGGGCCGGGCCTAGGCCCGGTCGGGCCGCCGGTTCTAGAATAGGGGGCCCGGGACCGGCCTGAGGGTTGGACGGGTCCGGTCACGGGTCGGGCCACCCGCCGGGCCGGGTCGGGCCGGGTAATTTTTTTTTAAATTTATATTTTATACTTTATAGTTTTATACAAGTATTAAAAAACAAACTTCAAGTGCATTTATTTGAAATGAAATAGGAACTACATTTGAAAATTAAATAGGAACTAGAATTGTTTTTAATCGGAATCTCCGGCATAAGTAGAGCCACTCTCTGTAGATTCATCCATAAAGTGTTGGGATGGAGTGATGTCAATTTCTTGAGCTCTACGTGCTGCTTTAAACCAATCGTGGTAGCATATAAGCATCTCAAGAGATTCAGCGCTCAACCTCGTTCTGGTTTGTGTTAGAACATTGCCGGCCGAACTAAATTCTTGTTCCACGGCAACCGTTGAAACCGGCATTGATAGCACTTGCTTAGCCATCTTTGCTAAAACCGGGAACATTCTTTCTTTTCCCTTCCACCAGTTTAGTACGTCAAAATCATCATCTTCTTCAAAATCAACATCATAAGTTAAATACAAAGAAATCTCATTAATTGTGCTTTGTTGTGTAGCGGGAGTTAATTTTGTTTTTTTAATAAGATTGTCAAACGTAGATTTGAAAATTGATTTTCCTTTAGATGATGTTTGTGTCGGGGAGGGGGCACATTGCCATATTGTGCATGAAACTCATTGAATAATGCATAAAATATATCACTAATCTCGTTGTATTCTTTTTTCGGATCAATTGGGTTGTCCTCATACATTGGCAATGGACCAAAAAAAGCAGCATAATAATAATTCAAACATTCTTCTAAAGAACCAAGTCTAAAACGAGGATCGAGAACAAATGCAAAATACCATAAATATGCGGAATATGTGTATAATATTTTAAAAACTTTTCCTTCATAAAACCAACAAAATAATTCACATAATCAGCATTCTCAAAATTTGAAAAAGCACCGGCGAGATTAACAACTTCACGAATAAATTGGTTTGAGGTAGGTTTATAAACATGACTAAAAGTTTCAGTTGCATTATTAAAATATATCAAAGCATTACAAATTTTTTCACAGGTGTCGATCTCAGCCGAGTTTATAATATAGTTATCATATTGTTTCATAAAAGCAGGAAAATGTTGTTTATATCTAAGAAGAACTCCAATTAACTTATAGGTACTATTCCAACGAATAGACAAATCTTTTGGAAAAGTCACATATCTCTCACCTCTTTCTATCAAATAATCATGCCATTTTTTCCTAAGGTGTCCATTACCCCAAATACGTCTAATCCCCCCCTTGACTACCTCCAACGATGCTCCCAACGCTTTTAGACCATCTTGCACACATAAATTTAGAACATGACATGCACATCGTTGATGAAAAAATCTACCCATCAAAGAAGTAGAACCACACAATTCACGCAATCTAGGAATAGCAGCAGTATTATTAGTAGCATTATCAAAACCAATAGCAAACACCTTATCAATTAAATTATACTCAATTAAAATACGTTCAATCAAAATATAAATATGTTCAGCGGTGTGACGATCATTAAATTCACGGAAAGTAAGAACACGTTTATGCATATGCCAATCATTATCAATATAATGTACAGTCAGACCCAAATAATGTAAATTATGATAAGTATCCTCCCTATGTCAGAACATACAGTAACACGTCCATCAAAGTTTGCAAAATAATTTTGTAACCTTACCTTTTCCGCACAATAAAGCCTTGAAATTTCTTTCTTAACCGTTTTGCGACTATAACCTCTATATTGCGGATTTAAACAAGTTTGTGCATAATCACGAAAAGCAAGACTTTCAGAAAACAAATACGGCAAATTTTCTTCAACAAGTAAGTTAGCCATACATGTCAAATTTTGTGCATCATTGTATGAGAAATTACCAAAAGCTTGTTGATTATTTGCAAACCTCGATATTTGCGTTTGCTTCCCCGTTCCGCCGCCTAATTTTGCATACTCCACCGGGTGTTTGGACTTAAGGTGTCTTGTGGCGGATCCGTATCCGCCGGAAATCCCCAAGCTATAGTTTTTCTTGCACCAATTGCAAGTTGCGGTCCAATTCCCGGTGTTCGGGTCCTTCCACTTAGAAAAATTATTAGCCATTAATTCAGATTTACTTTTTTTTGTACCTGTTTGGGATGAGGCTGCTTGGTCGGCGTCATGGCTGCCGCCACCCTCCTCCTCGTCGTCGTGGCTCTCCGGAATTGCTTCCTCCACATCGTCATCCTCGTCCTCGAGCTCTTCTTCGTCAATGGTCCTCGGTTGGTCTTGAAAAAAGCGGGAATTATGTCGGTGCAATTCTTGTTCTAGTTGTTCGTCGGTCATCGCATCCACATCCCTCCTTACGTAACCCGTATCAAAATCATCTTGACTTTGAGATGAAGAGCCGAGATGTGATTTACCTTTGCGGGATCTCTTCCTCGCAAGCTCGTTCGTTCGGTTGCGCTCGAGGTTACCCATATCAACCGAATATCTAGGACGATCCATCTAAAAAATGTAGCAATTAATAAAAAATTGTAAAAAACTAATTAAGTATTTATCTAACTATTAATTCGAGTTATAGCAAATTAAGTAGTGAATTAACTAGTTTTGTGTACAACATATTTTTTAAACTAGAGTCAAATGTAGCAATTAATAAAAAATTGTAAAAAACTAATTAAGTATTTATCTAACTATTAATTCGAGTTATAGCAAATTAAGTAGTGAATTAACTAGTTTTGTGTACAACATATTTTATAAACTAGAGTCAAATGTAGCAATTAATAAAAAATTGTAAAAAACTAATTAACTATTTATCTAACTATTAATTCGAGTTATAGCAAATTAAGTAGTGAATTAACTAGTTTTGTGTACAACATATTTTATAAACTAGAGTCAAATGTAGCAATTAATAAAAAATTGTAAAAAACTAATTAACTATTTATCTAACTATTAATTCGAGTTATAGCAAATTAAGTAGTGAATTAACTAGTTTTGTGTACAACATATTTTTTAATAAAAAAATTGTAATTCCAACTATATTAATAAAAAATCGTAATTCCAACTATATTAATAAAAAATCGTAATTCCAACTATACTAATTAACTACTAATTAAACAAGTGTAAATAATAGAATAATTTCGTACCTCTTTCGGACTTTCGGTCTTTCGGATGGGAGTAATAGAATGACTTCAAATTAATTAGATATAATTCCAACTATATTAATAGATATAATAAATATATAAGTAATATATAATTAGATAACAAATATAAGTAATATAATACTATTTATATCTATTTATAATTTATATAAGTAGATAATTAATATAAACTATAAATAATAAATATAATATATTGGAGAATGGAGAATAAGAGAATTAGAGAGTAGAGAGTTAAGAATAGGATTTAGGAAGAATTGGAGAAGAGTTATGAAAAAATGTTTAAGATTAGGAGTATTTATAGGGTTTTTTACCCCCCACCCCCCACCACCCCCCCCCACCCAACCCCCCCGGACCCCCCTATAACCCACCCAACGGCTATATAGCCGTTTGGGTTGTCCCCAGCCCCACCCCCAACGGCTAGTAGGAGCCCAACCCAATTTTTTTTTTTAAAATTGATCGAACCGGACCCGGGCCCGACCCGGCCGGGCCGGGTCACAAAATGCTGAACCGAGCCCGCCCCGCCCCTTCCCCCCGGTTCGGGCCCAGACCCGGTCCCGGACCGCCCGACCGGGCCGGTCCCGGGCCCTCACAGTACCGGGCCGGGCCGGGTCATGGGCCGGGTGGCCCGAACCGAATCCATCCCTAATCCTTCCCCTTCTCTTTCCTTGTGTATTTTTTCTGTTGGCTAACATCAGTGTTGGCCGTAGGTTTAGGAGTCCATTTTTCCTTAGGCATAGTGATAGCTAATGTAGCTGAAGGTCTCTTGGGGCAGTTGGATTCAGAATGTCCCAAATGGAGACATTTAGAACAATATTGAGGCATGTTCTCATAGTGTACTGTCTGCATAAACCCATTATTCCCATACTGTATCCAGATCTTGGTAGGCATTTCTTTGGTAAGGTCTAGTTCCACCAAAACCCTAGCCAAAGATGGCCTAGCCAAAGATGCTGCAGCAGCATCAATCTTCATAGGCTTGCCAATAAGAGATGCAATATCAAAAAGAGCCCTCGGATCCTATAAATGTATTGGCAGGTCTTCAAAACCTAGCCAAACTGGAACCATAGGAGTAGGCTTGGACTCGGGTCAGGCCACCCGGCCCGTGGACCGGCCCGGCCCGCTACTGTGCGGGACCGGCTCGGTTCTCGGGTCCGGGTCCGGGTCGGGCCTAGGCCCGGGGGTAGGGCGGGTCCGGGCTCGGGTCTCAATTTTGGTGAACCGGCCGGGCCGGGCCCGGGCCAAATTGAATTTTTTTTATTTTTTTTTCATTTTTGGGGTCCCACGGTTTCCACCCGGGTTGGACTTGATGGGTAGGATGGGTTTGGGGGGGGGGTTGGGGGGGTGAGGGGGTGAGGGGGGGTTAGGAAAGCAAAAAAAAAAAAAAAAAAAACGGAGGCCCGGACCCGGTGGCTACCCGGGCCGGTCCCGGGTCCACCATTCTTGAACCGCCGGCCCGCCCGGGCCTAGGCCCGGCTCGGACCCGAGTCCACCCCTACATAGGAGATTCCACGTTTGGCCTGAAATCAGGGGTCCACTTCGTCACCCTCATCACACAGCCATGAATAACCCTTGCTTGTTTATTACAGCAACGTAAATAATCCTCATCAATATCAAATCTTATGAAAACATGTTTCTGATTCAATAAACCTAGCTGGATATTTCCTTTAAAATCAATATTTTCAAAAGATTTCCTCATATTAACCAAACTAGGTCTAGTTTTGAAAAAATAGCCTACCAAAGCCTTGCGGTGACGAGCAGCGAGGTCCAAAACTTCCTGTTCTGGAAAAGTAATCGCGGGAACTCCTTTAAATCTTGTGTGTGTTTTCATTGATAGAGAAACTTGTGCATCTCGATTGGTAACCACATCTGCAAAGGTACGACCGTACGACCACCCCCAACAGCCTGCGAAGGAGGTCTGCCACTCCAAACTCCCTTCGGTGGTGGCGCCGCTAGTGAATTAGGTTCTGCCGTCATTCAGCTATGCAACTTGATTGTGTTGCATAAGTTAGGCATAAAAGAAACTACACTAGTAGGATTAAATAAAGGGAATTTTCAAGTAATCAACAAAAGTTTAAAAAGAAAAAGGAAAATGGTGTAAGATCCACCCATTCCACATCCAATTACACAAATTGGGTAAATTAAAATCTCTGAATGCTTCTGGGATAGGAATAAGCCAAATTAACATGCATCATATTATTATAACTTAATGCCACGTGAAGCATTTTGTAACAATGGGAACAAAGTAAGTGATGATGAGGATAGTATAACTTAGTTGGCCGAAGATAACCTCTGTATCGTTACACACAAGAATGATTCTGGTTTATAAATACATTTTGTTGATTGGCCGACATAGAGGTGGCAATACCACCAAGTCTGACCGAATTGAAACTGTATAGCAAACAATGGAGTTTGGCTTTACCTTAGCTTATTAATATGGTGTATCTTTATATACCATCGCATGACCAAGTTAGGGGGTTAGCTTATCCTGAATTAATAAAAAACTAAATAAATAAAAGAAAGAGCAAACCAGTGGCTAATTAAGATGGAGAACCGGCGGTGTGAGGAGTTCCCAATCTAGTGATATTCTCTATACTCTTTCTTTAAGGTCAGTACTGGTTCCGCCCCATTTTATTTAATGGGTATTTTAATATTGTCATATTAGTATAATTTTCATCCCCGTTTCTGTTATGTTATGGGGATGATGAGCATTATATAACCTTAGCTCTTTGTATGTTCTAAGAATGTTTTTTTAGAACTATTGATTACGAGTACATAATTGTATCTGAAAGTAATTATTTTTTAGCAATATGGAAGTCATCTAGAAATAAGTATAGTTGTGAATTTAAGAAGAAAAATAAGTTAAAATTAATGGTTAGATCTATTACCATGGTTTTAGGATACATAACTATATGGAATATAGGTTATAATAGGTTAGAGATATTCTACACTTTTAAATGTGTAGAACTTTAAAGAAACCCTAGCGCTCTGGCGATCGTGCACTGATGATCGCTGCACCAGTCTGGACTGCTCCGGCCGGTGGGTCGGGGGCGGTCGTCCTTGTAATACTTGAGATTTAATTTAAATGGATTAATAGTACTACTCGTACCAACAGAGGTGCATCTCCTTTTAAGGGAGCTCATCACCCAAGAACTCCAAAGTCAAGCGTGCTTGCACGAGAGTAGTCTTGGGATGGGTGACCCCCTGGGAAGTTTCTCAGGGCGCGCATGAGTGAGGACAAAGTGCGCGGTAAAGGCTCTTGGTGGTTTGTGAGGACAGTACTATTGGTCTAGAGTAGCTACCTCAGGTCCTGTGAGGCCGGGGTGTTACAGTCCTTTCTTTTGCTGAAGTTCTGGCTGCTAATAAGAATATACCTCTCAAAGTGCCATTCAGGCACCAAGGTATGCACGCGATTAGTTTTTCTGAAGATGAAGTTTCACTACTTGCGGAGCAACATAAATTTGCATTGGTGGGCTCCTTTGTTTGAGGGAGAACTGGTTGTTTTGGGAGATATGACCATAAAAGCATGGCAAGCAGTTTGTCAAGAATTGCAAAAGAATGTTGAAGCAATAGAAAACAAACAGGGGGAGGCGTTGGGAGTGGTGCTAAAAAGGAAGACTAAGGACATTCCTCAACGGCCAGTCACAACTAGACTGGCTGCCAAGAGGATCAACACAGAGCCCTCGTCGAGGTTTTCTTATGAAGCTACTTTCATGGAATTTACGGGGCATTGCTAATTCGTGCCCGAGGTTACGTCATTTTGTTATGCACCATTCTATGAATTTAGTTTCTATTATTGAACCGCTTGTGAATCAGAATAAAGGGGAGTCTTTTAAAGTTAGTCTGGGCTTCTCGGATTTGTATATGTCTGCAAATAACAAGATTTGGTTGATGTGGAATTCCAGTTCGTTTGAAATTACCAACATCAGGGAAAGGGATCCGTTTCTCTTGGTTATGGTAAAATTCATTCCTTTGAATTATGTTTTTACGTTTTCTTCGGTCTACGGGCTTCACACCAGGACTGACAGAGCAAGATTGTGGGAAGGTTTATTTCAATTTACTCAACAAAGTCACTCAGATTGGATTTTGGGGGGAGATTTTAAAGTGGTTTCCTCAATTGCTGAATATAAAGGGCCTTCTTCTCCTTCACTTAATGCTATGTTGGATTTCTAAGATTGTATTGATAGGTGTGAGTTTGTACAATTGCCTACTATTGGATCTACTTACACTTGGTCGGGAGTGAGGAGAAACAGAAGAATCTGGGAGAAACTTGATAGGTACTTGGCTAATCAAGGCTTTCTTTCTAAGTTTAATGTAGTTCGTACACAGCATTTGACTAAAGCGTCGTCTGATCACTGCCCAATCTTACTGATTTGTGAGGAAAGTTCTCCTAAAGTTCCTAAGCAGTTCCGGTTTCATAATATGTGGTTTTCCAAAGATGATTTTTTGTCGTTTGTCAAGAAGACGTGGGAGGAGTACCCCACTTTTGGGGGTATGTGAGGGCTGTGTGATAAATTAAAGAAACTAAAGAAGGATATTAAACATCGGAATGATAATGTTTTTGGGAATATTTTTTCCGAAGCTCAGAGGATTGAAGAGGAGGTTGTGATCGCTGAAAAAGGCTTTTGAAGATAGTCCGAGTGAGTTTAATAGAGCTGCTTGCTTCCAGAAATAGACAGAACTTCAGTTGAGGGCCAAGCAACATGACATTTGTTGGAAACAAAAAGCGAGAATTAAATGGCTTAGAGAGGGAGATGCTTACACTCATTACTTTCGTGAGGCTGTAAAGGATAGGAATAGAAGGCAAAATATTGTGGCCATTAAAAAAGAATATGGCAATTGGTGCTATGACAGAGATCAAATAGCAGACAAAGTTGTTTCCTTTTTCAGTAATCTGTATAAGGAGGAAGCAACTTTTTCATATGATAGAGTGCTGGGGTATATTCCTAGAGTCTTAAATGAAGAAGATAATATCTATCTCGGGGATCTACCGGGGGAAATTGAAGTCAAAGGGGGCAATTTAGGGCTTAAGTCAGGAGGCTGCCCCTGGGCCAGTGGTTATGGGTGGTTATGGGGGGAGTTTCTATAGAGGATGCTGGGATATTATTAAAAGGGATGTTATTCTTGCCGTTCAGGAATTTTTCTTAGGCATACCTATTCCAAAGGGGATGGGGAATGTCAATATGGTTCTTATCCATAAAAAGAAAAATCCAGTTGCTTTTGGTGATTTTCGTCCTATTTGTTTATCTACTTTCATCAGCAAGGTGAACCCTAGGATCTTGGCAAGCATGATGAATTCTATTCTTCCCAAATTAATTTCCCGAGAACAATCAGGTTTTATGAAAGGGAGAGAAATTAAAAATCAAGTGTTAGTTGCTCTTGAAATGTTGCCTAACTTGGATAGGAAGGTTAGAGCTTCTAACATTGTGGTTAAATTGGATATGGCAAAAGCTTTCGACAAGGTCTCCTGGGATTTCTTACATGCTATTTTGGAAAAATTTGGTTTTAGCCAAGTTTTGATTAATCTCATTTTGGGGAATCTTAGGGCTACTTACATTTCTATACTCATAAATGGGGCTCCTTTTGGTTTTTTAAGCCGGGCGTGGGGTCAAGCAAGGAGATTCGTTGTCCCCTTTACTCTTCATCATCATGTCTGAAGCATTTTCAAGGGGACTCAACAATTTGGTGTCTACATGAGCTATTCAAGCTTTTAATTTTGGAAGAGGCGTCCATATTTCACATCTGGCATTCGCAGACGATCTAATGGTGTTTCTTAATGGGTCTTCTAAATCTATCAGGAAGTTTAATAGATTTCTTCAGGATTATCAAGGGGCTTCAGGACAGATGGTTGACAAGGTGAAGAGTTGTTTTGTTGTTGGTAAACACACCTCCCTAGCCAGAATTCTACAAATTGAAAATGCATTGGAAATGAAGGTTTCAAAATTATCAATGAAGTATCTGGGAGTGCAGCTTCACCAAGGCATTACTAGGGTATCACATTGCAAAGACCTTTTAGACTCCTTTGACAGAAAATTATCTACTTGGAGTAAAAGGTGGTTGTCTCAAAGGGAAGATTGGTGTTAATTAAGCATGTGCTTAATTCACTACCTTTGCACGTACTACCAGTTACCAGTCTCCCTAGGGCAGTCATAAACATGATCAAAAGAAAAGTAATTGTTTTTTTCTGGGTTTATAGCAATAATAAGCAAAAACATCAATGGATTAAATATAATGATTTGTGCACGCCTAAGGAGTCCGGTGGAACTGGGCTTAGGTCATTGGCCGATATTCTACAAGTTTCTGTCATCAAACTTTGGTGGGAATATCATGTAGGAGGTTCTATTTGTTCTGAACTTATGAGGAGTAAATATGGCAGACGGGCTTTGGGTGAGGTCAAGCCAACTGATTCTCCTACATGGAGAAGAATCAACCTCATTAATGAGAAGGCAGAAGAGATGGTGATCATGGACACACAACACATTAAATGGAAACACACAATAGATGGAAACTTTACATCTAAATCAGCCTATCTAGCATTAAGGCCTCAAAGAGGTAGGGCCTTATCAAATGATCTTATCTGGCATCCAAAGTAGATGCCTAAGATCAGTGTTTTCCTGTGGAGATTGTGGCACAAAGGTCTCCCTTTTCCGGAGAGATTAGTTGCGTTTTCAACACCATATCCGACTATGTGTCCATTTTGTAGGCAAACAAGCGTTTCTCATGATCACATCCTACTTTTATGTCCCTCAGCAAACTCAGTGTGGTGTTTTTTTTTTTGCTAATTCTCTGTTGACAGGAAACGGAAAAGCAATGAACATTAAATGCCAAATCATGTCGTAGTGGATTTCGACTAAAGGTAAAACTATGGATAAACTTTATATACTGATCTTACCTGAAGTAATAGCGTGGCACATGTGGAAAAAATACTAGGAATCTACGTTGAATGCATCAGTGCCGGATAAGGGTGTTGTGATAAAAAATCATAAATTACATGTTAGCTTGGTGTTAGGTGAATGATAAGGTGCAGGGTACAGATAAACTCAAGCTAAGAAAACCCCAAATTCTTCGATGGATGAAGCCGAATATTTCTGTAAGGAATATCTGTATTTAGATTTTGATGATGCTAGATTAATTAGGACTTTAGAGTACCCCTATTTAGACTTAATGTATTAGAATTTTCATTTGTAAAGTTCTTAGTGTAATCGACTTGGCAGAATGCCTTCAGAGCAGAAGACCTTCTGAGCAGAAGGGCTCCAAGAGCAGAAGACCCTCGTAAGGCATTATTGAAACAGAGGACCTTTGGTTCTCTGCTCCAGAACAGAAGACCTCAGGGTCTCTTATAGCCTTTACTCTGACAGAAACCCTTCTGGGTCTCTGTTGGATATATTCTCAACAGAAGTGCTCCAGACCTCCTCTGTTCAACTCTCAGTTAAAGACACCAGAAGGTCTGACACTTAGAAGAATTCCACAAAACCGGGAAGTCAACTAAAAGATTCCTTCAACGGCTAGGAGTATTGAACGGAAAAGCTACAGTGCGCGCATTAAATGCTCATTTAATGCTCCCCATACTCCGTTGAGTAATTGCAGATGATTGGCCGCAATGTCAGGAATACTTTATCCCAAAATAGTAACCCGCCAACTTTACCGGGCTCTACTGGTCAAGTCAACTGATCGCTCATTTAATGCAGTTGTCCTCCTACTCCTCCAA